TCTGTCACTTGCATTATCTTTAATACTCCTATAGCAGTTCCACAAAGAGTTTGTTCTCCTGTGTTGTTTATGACTCTTCTAAAGTTAGCATAAAAAGTCATGGGTTCCATTATGGCATTCTCATATATATATGAGATATATATGAGACTCTTCTCCGTCTCTCTTCTGTATTCCAGTCACCTGTATTCATTACACTCTCTCCCCTCTCATGATCCCCTTTCCACTTTTATCACACACACACACATGCACACATACACATGTACACAAATATACATGTACATATAAACACACAATATACAGACACGTATATGCACAGGTATCCATATATACACATACAAATATCCACACACACTTATGCACACATGTAACATATGCACACACCATATATATGTACATATACAATGCATATATACACATACACATTTGTATGTACACACAGGTACACATATTCACGTGCATAAATGTACGTACACAAACTCATATACATAGGTATACACATATATGCACAGATACACACATATACACACGTGTATCCAGATAGACACACATGCATGTATATATACATGTATGCACACAGGTATACATGTGCTTATGTGTACACACATATACATATACACAGGTACACACAGGTACACACAAACACACACACACACACACATATATATATAGACATATAGACATGTACACATACATCATACACATATACACATACTGACATACACACAGGTACACATGAATGAGCACATGATCACATACATGTATACACACATATAAACATGTATCCCCCACATTTATTTGTGTCATTATTACCGAATGTTAGCTGGGAAACTCCTCAGAGCCATTGGACTGGCTGTTACCATAGCCCTTTATTTTTGCCTGGGTTTTGTTCCAGTTCTCCCTTTTGTGGTCATTTGTAATAGTGACATTTTATGTGTAGCCTTGCACATAATACTCCAGTCACATTGCTATCAAGTTAATGTGACTGGACATTAAGAGAATGTAATTAAGAAGTATTTTGCTGTGAATTTTATTAGGCGTTGAGTAAGGGACTTTGTTGTACACATTGGAAGGTTTGCAGGCTGTGGAGTCAGGCAGTTTGAGTTGACACCTTGTCCCAGGGGCTCACTGGTTATGGTCTTCTGAGGCAGCTACTCATTGCAGCATGGTCCCTTCCTACAACTCACTCTCTTCATTTTCTTAGAGTGAAAATGGTGTTTTTTATAGGATTAGACATGAATCTCCCAGACTGTGTTGGCTCACAGGAGCCTATGTGAATGCTTGAGGTGGAGGAGTTATTCCCTGTCACGATGCTTCGGGGTGCAGACTGGAAGGGCCTCTGGAGTGCTGCATATACACACATGCACACACCTGTACACACCTGTACGCACATGCACACACATGCACACACCTGTACACACATGCACACACCTGTACACACATGCACACACCTGTACACATATATACGCACATTCACACACATGCACACACCTGTACACACATGCACACACCTGTACACACCTGTACACACATGCACACACATGCACACACACAGGCACACACATACATCATCGTTTCACTTCACCTTCACCAACCCCAGCAGGAAAAGCAGCAGCAAACAGCGCGTCATCGAGCTGTTGCATTCTGCCAGAATGCCAGACTGAAAGTGTGTCTTTCAAACTGCGTGTTTGTTCATCTTAAAGATGTGGATTATAAACTGTTAGGAACCAGGACCCGTTAAGTGACTGTTTTCGTTTCAGCTGACTCTGTGTGGCCGTCTTTGAGTGTGGAATGGATAAGCTGATGGATGCCAAGTGAAGCCCCTCCAGTTAGTGAGCTCAGCCTTCCTGGCTCCCTCTAGCCAGGCTTCTGTGGTTCCCCCAAGCTTACAGCATTTGGCATCTTTAACTGGAAGGCTTGGGTGGAGGCTTGGAACCTGTGGCATTTATTTTATCAAGGAGCTTTAGGTACATCTGCCTTGCTGGAAGTCCCTTTTCAGGGGGAGACCTGGTGTCTTCTGGGAGAATATTTGTCTTATGGAAGGGAAGGGAATTTCTAACCCCAGTAATCTCAACCAGAAATTGGAAGAGAGGGGAATTTCTGCTGCCCTGAGAAATCTGTTTTCTCAGAAGTTCATATGGATATGAAAAGACTCAACCACCAACCAGAGAACTTGCATGGGACTGACCTAGGCCCTCTGCACATACGTTACAGTTGTATAACCTGGTCTTCTTGTGGGATTCCTAACAGAGGGAGCAGGGGGCTGTCTCTGACTCTGTTATCTCCTTTTGGAACCCATCTGCTTACTGGATTGCCTCCTCCCCTACAGCATTGGTGTTGGGGGTGGTGCCCAGTCTTGCTGTGGCTTGGTATGCCATGGCTGGCTGATATCTATGGAAGGCCTGGGCTTTCCTGGGGAGAGGGGAGGTGGAGTGGTTGGGGGGGAGGGGGAAGTGGAGGGGAGGGACGGGGAGAGGAGAGGGAGGCTGTGGCCAGACTGGGAAGAAATTAATTAATTAATTAATGAGTTAATAAAATAAAAAAAATAATAGTACAGAAGCTAGGCAAGGGCCATGGGGTGGGTGGAGAGGAAGTGTGGAATGTTTGATGGTAAACAGGGATTGTTGGCAAAAAAAAAAAAATAATAGCCTGGATGGTTTTGCTTCCAAAACACCAGAGGACATTGGAGCAAAGTAGATGGCACTGGTACAACTTGGGAAGGGTCTGTCTAGCTGAAGGCTGGGTGGCAAGGGGATACCTACCCCTGTGCAGAGTACGGCTGAGTTTGCACCCTGGCTCAAGAGTGCTTAAGGCAGAGCTGGGGCACCCAGTGAAAGTGTCACCAGAAGCAGTGTGGCCACTGCTGTAGTGTAGCAGGCAGCCAAGGCCTTCAGAATTGATGCCTTGGAAAATGGGGCCTTGCTTGTGTATATGTCCCAGGACTTCAGGGAGAAGGAAGCAAGGGAAGGCGGCTGGCATTACAGGTGACTGTGTATCCCACAATGCTGTGGCTTGTAGAATCTCAAGTCTGCAGAAGGAGCTCTACGCAGCTAGTGGCCAGGCAGTAAACCACTCAGCATTTGGTGCTGTGTTGGGGCTTTGTGCTGTTGGGCAGTGCAGAGGTATGTTCCCAGGAAGTTTTGGTAGAAGAAAGAATAAATTTGATGACAGAAGAAAGGTTCTACAGCACAGGAACTCTTGATTATGAACTTTTGAAGTAGAATTTAAAGTAGATATCCTACCAGTATGCCTCAGCCTTGAACAATGAACAGTGTACTTTAAAAGCATATCCTACTTTGATAAATATTCACAGGTCATGTCTAACCACATCTGGCCATGCTTTTGTGTAGCCAAAAGGAAAGTGTGATTAGGTACAATATAGCCTTCTGTAGTAAATATTATTTCACAATTCACTGAGATTATTCCAAAGAGCAAAAATCCAGAGGAGATGGGACCAAAGGGGGATTTTCTTTTGACTTCACAAAGTTTCTACCGTGTGTACTGAGGGCTGTTCCAATTCACCTACCAATCCCACCACTACTTATGCTGCAGAAGGGAAAACTATCCTTAAAGCCAGCCTGCACTTGATTTGCTTAAACTAAGAGGACTTAAGCCCGTGATACTGGCCAGGGTAGGACTGTAAATGTTTTCAGCATTTGAAAGCCGTTTGGAGGGATAGCTCTGATGGGAAGCAAGCCCTCAAGGAAATTCCAGAATTCTTCTTGATTGGCTCTGACATCATGGTGTGCATTTTCTGAAAATCTTTGACACTTTGGAGACTGCATTTTCTCATTACACCTTTCCATTTTATCATGCACGCTGGCTTTGAGCGGAAGAGATAAGGGTGAGGAGTGGGTCCAGCGCTTCATGCTTCACACCGAATCCCTGGGAGACACTAATCTGGGAGGGTTTGCCGGCTGCATCTTGCCATTCTTGGTTTAGGATTTACAGAGAAGTTCACCAACTATATCTTGGTATTACACAGCATGTACTACTCTTCTTCTCTCTCAGCCTTCACAGTTGTCCTATTTGGGGAATAAAAAAAATCCTCCCCTCTCTTTCTCTGTCTCCCCCTCTCCTTCTCCCTCCCCTCATTTGCAGTGTGTTCTGTACACACTTGTGCCTCAGTGATGCACTGGCCATTTCCAGTCACAGCCACCACCTCCGGCCACTCCTTCAATTGTTCTCTGCTGGTCTTTGGTTTTTGTTGTTATTTTTTTTCCTTCTCATGGTTTTGTTTTTATAGATCAGTGTTTCCCATCTCTTGGTGAAATGAGTCTCCTTGCAATTACCATTGCCTTAGTCTCTTCAGACTGCTGTAACACAATGCCGTAAATGGAGTGGCTTAGAAACGACAGAAATGTATTTCTTACTGGTTCAGAGGCTGAGGCAGCCAGATCAAGGTGCTGGCAGATTTGGTGTCTGGTGAGCGCTACCTTCTGATGCCTAGAAAGAAGGTAGCTCCTTGCTGTGTTCTCATGTAGTAGGAGTGACAATGTCTGCTTTCAGCCCCTCATATGGGTACTAATCTTGTTATGAAGACCCCACTGTCAAGGTCTAGTCACACACACCCTACACACATCCTGTCTATTACCATCGAATTGCAGGTTCACTTTAAACATATGGACTTGGAGAGAGGGGACACAGAAACGTTAAAGAATGGTAACCATCCAATCAGTGTGCCCTTTTTCTTTGCTCATTAGCTTCCGGACAAGCGTCTGCCTGCCTGTCAGGGCTTGTTTGGGGGCTCTTCTCTTCCCAGAGTGGCTAAAGAATGGGGCAGGCTGTCACACTGTCATCAAGGCTGATTCTGGAGTTCCAGAGGTTTCTGCCATGATGGCGTCCGCAGGTGTGGTCCTCCGCAGTATCGCTCCACCTGGGAAGCAGCACCTCTGGACCCTGCTCAGACGCAGATGCAGAGCCACTGTGACTTCTGGAGGAGGTCACTCAGAGCATTGCTATCTCACATGCCCCTTCCTGGCTTTCATTTGTCACCTTGGTAGGACTCTGCTTCAGCAACTTCAGAAGCTTCAGGCTCTGGTGATGGGCAAGGTGTCCCGATCCTGCAAGTTAGCTGGCACCCAGACTGGCACCTGCCTCATGGTGAGTTTTCCCAATTTCCAGATTCCCCTGCCTTGAAAATCTAAGAGTGAATGAAACCAGAGACACCAAGCATCTTGTCCCAAGGCTTCTCTCTGCGTGTCATTACAGGGACATGACGGGGGTATGAGCTGTCCTCTGATGGAGGGGATAGGGGTGGGGGGTGTTTCCTTCTCCCAGGATTTCCAGGTGGCTTGTCCCTGAAGGTGTGCTCTGGTGTCAGTAGCCCCCTATGCTCTCTCCTCACCTCCAGGTCGTTGTGCTGTGCTTTGCTGTCGCGTTTGGCAGCTTCTTTCAAGGCTATGGGCCCTATCCTTCTGCCACCAAGATGGCTCTGCCCAGCCAGCATCGCCTGTCGGAGCCATACACAGCTTCCGTGGGTAAGTCATCAGCTTGTTCTGTTTGCCTGAAGTTGACTTTCCCAGCTTTCTGAAAGGAATCTCATCCTAAAGCCTGATGTGTAAAAGTGGAGCGATTCCGTTTTCAGGTGGGGTGTTCTGGGAGTAGCCACCAGACTCCCTTGGGTAGCACCAGAAAGGCCCTGATACTCCCCCCGCCGCCACCCCTGCTTTGAGATCTGATATGGGTAATTTGGCTCGTGGAAGACTGGAGAGTAAGGAGGACAGTTAGTTTTTCTGAAATCTCACAATCACTCTTGTGTCTCTGACTCCAAGTAGAATTCTATGCTATTGCAGTAAGAGTTTGCAGCAAAATTAAAGAATTGGTCTGTCTTATGCCCAAGACTTAGAGAAGTCGGAGACTCTGGTGTTCACATATGCAGCATACTCAGTTCTCCCCTTGAGCAATGGTGTCTTTTGGGTATCTAGAAAACAGAGGGAGGAAAAGAAGGGTATACACAGAGTGGCACAGCTATGTTAGTAACAACACACCCAGAGTTAGGAGACACAGGATTTGAGGAAGGGAAAATTTTGCCATCCTCAAAATGCCTGTGGATTTCAGTAGTTAGTATATCCAGGCCAGATACATGATAAAATGTCATTCCATTATGATGATTTCAGTGGCTTCTTGGGAAGTTTTTTTGTTTTGTTTTGTTTTTTCTGAGGGAAATGGCTCTAAATTTTGGAAGCTAATGGACACACAGTCTGTATGCCCAGGAAATGACTAGAGTCATCTAGCTATGTAACTGTCTCATAATGCACCAGAGATTGTCTCCCTCTGACTTTCAGGGTTGGCTTTGGGCTTTCCGGGAATGCCTCCTCATTCAGCTGGGTTTTGACAACTCCCAGTGTTTAACCCACATTTTCCATAAGCTGTTTTCCCCAAGACTGTTGGATGAGAGACATTTTACTAAAGGCAGTAAGAGGGGATGTTAACTTTGCATTTGTTTGCTTTCATGTTGTTCTTCCAACCTATATAATTGATATAATTTTTGATGCCTAAACTCTGAAACCTGAAGCCATTACAGAAAGCCCAGCCCAGCTGGCATGCCCCATCCCAGAGGATGGGAGCATGCTGTCATCTGCCACTGGCCTCGGGCGGGCCTTAGGAGTAAAGGGCATGTGTGGGCCTCCTATGTTATTTTGCTACCATCCATTGCTCTCTTCTTTCTTCAGTGAGATCCAGGAACCTGCTAATCTATGAGGAGCATTCTCCCCTGGAGGAGTCATCCAGTCCAGCCTCAGCTGGAGAGCTTGGGGGCTGGGACAGAGGTTCCTCCCTGCTCAGGGCATCGGGGCTGGAGGCCCTGCCGGAGGTGGACCTTCCTCACTTCATTATCTCCAATGAGACCAGCTTGGAGAAGTCAGTGCTGTTGGAGCTTCAGCAGCACCTGTAAGTCCCGTAGGTGCAGGCGTGGTGGCTGACTACTGAGTATGAGGCAGCCCTGGTGGGAGGGCATGTGCTCTCCCAGAGCTCTCGGTATCCACTCAAGACACGGGCAGTGGGGAGAGTCTGCTGATGGCTGTTAGCAGGGCAAAGGTCTCTTTGAGCTAATCCAGTGTCCACACCATCAACCCAGAGCTGGCAGTAATGGACCCATTGAGCAAGAAGGGATGTCAGTTCCCTCAGTCACTGTCTCCGTTTTGTTCTCTCAATGCCACAGAGTGGCTAGATGTGGTAGCTCATACCTTTAATCCTAGCATTCAGGAAAGTCAGTAATTCAAGTCCAGCCTCAGCTTCATAGTGAGTTCACGGTCGGTCAGTCTGGGCTACATGAGATCCTGTCTCCCAAAAAATGCCAGGTGACATCAGAGAGCTTGTTCTGCAAATGCACCTTCAATTCAATTCTATAGTTCCTTCCAACTGGAGGGGAAAAGAATGTTGTGCTGGGTATCAATATAATTAATGATTTACATGTCAGTGCACAGGAATCACCTGTAGCTGCAGATGAAGTGCTCTTTGTGCAAAATGCTTGGGACCACAAGGTGTTTGGAATAGTTTCCAGGTTTGGGATATTTGCATATACATAATGAGATATCCTGGGCGTGAGACCCAAGTCTAAACATGTCATTTATCTGTGTTTGGTAAGTTTAGTTCTCAGAGCAGTTTGGGAACTAGGGATGCTCAGCCTGTAAACATTTATGCATTTGTATTGAGGGACAGTGGCGATGAAACATGGTTATTTCTTTCCCTCATTGAAATCCCCCATGTATGGCTCCAACTCTGCCCACATTGTTCCTCTCACTTAACTGGGGTGGGGATCCTTTTGAAAACATTATGGCTGATGGGAACTTGTGTTACCGTTGTTGTACAGAGGGGGCACTTTGGGGTGTTCATCAGCATAGGACGCATGTGTGCACCCCCTGGGTGACGTGTGGTGAAACGGATGAATTAGCTAATCTACGCTCCTAGATAGGTACCTCTGTGCACCAGAGTTCATAATCATATGTGCTTTTATATGTACACATGACACACACATATTTAACACTTACTAGTACCAACCATTGCCCAAATATGTTATCGTAACAAACCTTGCAAGTATCCCAAGATATACAACCTTAATTTTATGCCCATTATGGAGAAAGCCCTGGAGACTGAGCTGTTGGATAACATAGCTCATAGCATGGTCTGTTCCCCAAGCTCAGTGTTTGAAAGCCCCATTCAGGTCTCTGAGTTTACCGTGATGTCTCCCAAATTGTAAAGCCTCCCTGATTCCCATCATAATGCTGGGAGACTTTGATCATATATCTATTTTATGGTATGTATTTTGTGTTGTTTTAAGTTGATTCATTAAAAAAAAAATCCTTGTCTGGATTCTTAATTCTAGAGCAGATGTCAGCCCATATCCTCCTGCATTCTCGTTCCTGTAACTTACAGCATTGAGGCCATTAATAAACAGAGAACAGTTATTGAAAACAATTTAAAATAAGGCAGCATCAAACTACCATGGGTCTCCACTTGGCCCAGATAAAGTTGGGAATATGGGGGTGAACATGTGACTAGTGGGAGATTTGGGGAGCAAAGAATAACAGTAGGGGTTTAAAAGACTTTGCCAGAGTCAGCCCACAAAGCTGTAACTGAATCATGATACAGAGTCTGAGAATATTAGCAAAATCTCATAGCTGACACTTCTTTCTTCGTTTGATGCCTTCGCAGGGGCAGCAGCAAACTGGAAGGCAACGAAACGCTCAAAGTTGTAGAACTCGAGAGGAGAGTGAACGCCACCTTCTAAGGACCGTCTCCACCTTTCTCTTCTCCTAACTCCAGCTGTGCGTCCCCAAACTGCCTTGCCCATAAGCTTCTCCTTCACCCCTGGGTCTTGAGGAGGATGTGGACTTATAGTGCTTGTGGCTTGAGATGTGAGGCCAGCCTGGGGCCTTCCACTTAGATGTCACCATGGCTCCTGGGAGGGAGCTGGCACCTCTCCATCCCTTTCTCTTACTGCCATAGGAAATTATCTTAGGGGTGAGGTAGGGGTGGGACGAGCAGGCTTGTTTCCACTAGTATATGAAGATAACGCATGACTCTTCCCTGTAAAGAATGACCCTTTCGAAGAAGATACGACTCACACATTCAGTTGAGACCCCAGACTATAGCCACAAATATGCCACAAACACAATGCCAGGGAGTGGCTAAAGCACTGACTCTTGACCTCCCTGGCTCACTAGGACTCCAGTGTGACCCTGCCCCCACTGAGAGTACCAAAGTGTCATTCCAGTCTGTCCGTTCTGCACCCTGGAGCCCTTATTGGATGTCCGCACAGGCAGACAGGACTCCCACCACATTTTCAGGCCGCAAGTGCAATTCCTGAAGGCATCAGGCTCTTCTCCAGCTCGCCCTGCCCACCGTGTTGCTTGTAGTGTACCCCCCACACCATACACACAGCCTGCATCTCTACGGGACAGTAGCTCTGTCTCCCTGGCCTCCCCACCCTATTTGTAAATAGTATTTATTAGCTTGCTCAAGCTCCCCACTGACCGTAGTAAAGAACTTTCATGACCCCTTCCAACAAGCAAAGTCTTCTGTTGGTCTTTGGAATAGGAGAGTCCCCAAGATCTGGAACCCCCAGTCTTTCTAGTTGATGCCTCGTCTCCCTTTCCTTTCTTTTTCAAATTGGAGACCTATAAAATAATCACTGCTGGGCGATCCTCTTTAGCATGTGCCCCCTGTGGGATGAATTCATGGGGAATGATGGAGCCCCGTCTTCTTTTCTTGTTCAGGCTGCGGGCTCTATGGCCACTTGCTATCTCTCTCCATTTCTGGGTCAGAGAAGGAAAGTCCTGCCCCTGACAGTAGGCACTGCTGACAACCTTGCTAGGTTGTCCTGCTTCCCCCCTGCCTGCCTCCCTCACTTCCCTCCTTCCAGTCTGCCCTCTCCCCACCTGCCTTCACTGGCGGGGGGAGGGGGGGCTGGAGTTGGTGACATTTGTGCACCCACAGTCATACCTTTTACAGCCAGGTTTGGCTACTTTGCAGCTCACCCAAAGAGATACAATGAACCCCCAAACTCCTTTCCTTTTTTAATGATTAAAAGTAAAATTTGTAGTTAAAAAATTCTTTTCTCTTTCATACTAATAAGAAATGGAAATTACTCTTTTATTGTATAAGATAGAAGACTCGTTTTAAGTGTTTCTCCACCCCCAACCCCCCGCCCCCCCCCCCCCACCTTGTAAAAAAAATTTTTGTAAGAAATGTGGTTACAATTTATATTTTTTTTTTCAACCCCCCGCCCCCCCCACCAAGCTTGTATTAAATTTTTATGTAAGAAATGTGCTTACACTTTATATTTTATTTTTAGCAACAGCTGAAGGGCCTTTAGTTTTGGCCTCTCTCACGAGCACTCTCTCTTGCACTTGCTCCCTCGCCCCGCCCTCTCTCTCTCATTTTTCCTCTATCATCTATGTGACCTATAGAGCCCATGTGAGAGGGATTATGAGCACACTGGCCCTTACACTCTGTGTCACTTACAGGATTTGGTGTTATTAGTGTTTGCTGTCATGCTCCATGAACAGCTTTCTATTTAGTCTGCTCAGGTCATCATAGGGAGTGCTCCCTCCCCCCTCCCTCCTCTCCTCCCTTCTCCTCTCCCTCCCATGGTGGGTTCCCAGCTGGCAGATGGCCAAGTTCACCTTGTTGTGTGTGAGGCCCACCTCAAGGCCACTGTGATCCTGGCAGCCCTGCTGTCCACTGGTCTGTCACTGTCCCTTAGGCTCAGATGCCTGGACTGTACACAAAGGAGAGTGGTTGTGACCTGTTTCTGCTTTCTTTTGGTCTCCTCTCTTCCTTTGATCTTCCCAGGCCTGGCCCATTGTGTTCTTTATAGTGCCAGATGTTTATGCATAGTAAACATAAAAAAAAAAATGCCTGTAAGAGCCTAAGAAGGGGGAAAAACCCAGAATGAGTTCGTGTTTGTGTGATGAGAAAGGGAGAATTTGCAGTGAAGGGCAGAAGTGGGCTTCAGGCTGGTGTGTACATCTGCCAGGCTGAACCTTGGTTTTTTGACGTGCCTAGAGAGCCAGGGAGGAGCCCCATTTGAGGAGGCAGAGGGAGAAGGGAGGGAATGTCTAGCCATGTCTAGTTCTCCGAGGGCTTCACTTTCTTCTCTGCCTGCTCTTTGGATGTCACTGTATCCAGACAGCAGGGCCCTTTGTCTGTGGGAAATTGGCCTTCCAGAATAGAATCTGTAGCTAGAGACACGGGACATTAGCCAGAGAACTCAAACAGCCCTTTAAAGGAGCTCTCAGCAGCCAACACTGCCACTCTATTGAGAAAGACCTCTGCTGTCGGCTTTCGGCTTGGCAAGTGGAAGGGGCTAAGCAGTTGTCCCTCTGGGATACTCTGTAATCAGGGGATCCAGGGTGGCAGAAGACAGAATGGGTTGCAAGTAATTAATGTATGCACACTTTCTGTTCAAAGTTTAAGGCTAGAATATCAGTTTTTCCCACCAGCTGAGCTGTCCTGCAGACCAGTCGATAACTTACGGATGTCTCTGAAGGTTTTGAATAGTGTCAGGCTTTAACACCTTGAATTGAAAATTTGAAAATACCCAAGACTGCTAGACTGTTAGAGAATCCAGACCCATTAGTTTGCTGGTTGCGTTTTCTATTCTATAAACAGCCCCCCCCTCCACCGTCTACAACACACACACACATTATGATCACTTTAGTGATGGAGATGTCTTGCAGAGATTTAGAAAATAAGCCTTTTTTTTTTTTTTTCTGTAGATGAGGCCCGAGTAACCCAGTTGCCCCTTCCCTCGGGGTCTTTTCACAGCTCCAACTTTACATTGGGAAATGGGTCTGGCAAATGAGAGGAATCAGCAGCACCGGCATTGAGGGAAAGCCTCTGAAGTGTCAGGACTCTGGAGTGTAGCTCCCAGAAAGAGAGCATTCTATAAAAATCTGACAGCTGAACTCGGTTGCTCCTTCCTGGCAGAAGGCGGGCGTGGGATCTGACATCAATGCAGGCAAAGTTAGGTAACCTTCCGGTCCACAGGGATGATTTTGTGGATGGGAAACAGCTTTAGGGCCATATTATTTACAAACTGTGCATACCCCCCTCTCAAGCATCAGTGCCCCCGTAGCGGCTTTGGATCTTATGTCCACATGCACCAGGGATACTGGACCGATCCCTCTTGATGCTGGGACAGAGTCCACCTCCATCATTTTTACCATGGGTGTTTTGTTAACATTCTTTCCAGCACTTGATGTCCCCTCCATCCCATGTGCCCAGACCCAGAAAAAGCAGCAAAACAGAATTAGAAGTGTCTTTGAGCCAGCTCCTGTAGTCATAATGTGCCTTGTGAGGTGTGTGTGTGAGCCCAGAAGAGAAATGGAGACATCTTGTCCCCACCTGAGGAGCGGACATCTGCCCGATCCTTGCCAACATGGAGGTGTGGAAATGGGAGAATGGGCTTTTAGTGGCTAATTTGTTTCTGCTGAGCTAAGTGTTTGAGAAACCTGGATGAGCTCTGCACTCTACTTGCAGCCTGTTGGGACCTGTGGAGCCATCAACAGCAGGGTCTTGGTGAGAGCCACTTTGTGTGAACAAGCAGTTAGCACAGGGTGATTGGATAAGTTATACCCACCCCCCGCAGGAGTGGAGAGAACAGTAAGATAGGGGCTGGAAGGAGCCAGACACAGATTTCAGCTCATTTGTTCATCTGTTCATTCAATCAATCATTCATTCATTCATTCATTTGTTCATTCCTTAAGCTTTGCAGTTTTCCTAAAGAAGAGCAGGCTTCCTAAGACCTAGAAAATGTTGGAAAATAAGAGGGACTTGGAAAACCAGCTTGTCAGTAGCTATTCAGAAGACCCAAGTACTACCTAATGCTAGTCACGCCCCCCCCCCCCCCCCCCACACACACACCTCCTCTCCTAGGTACTTACGCCTCCAATGTGCCTTGTATCTGAACACAGGATGGCAGGAATTTCCTGTCCCTGGAAAGTGTCACATATTACTATATAGTATTTTGGATTGAAGTTGAGGGATGGGAACTTTCCCCAGAGACTCAGAGATGGTTCCCTATAAGTGTGCCTCTATTAGATTTGCTTATCAGGGGGGAAAGAAGTGGGGTTATACACATCAGGAAAATCCCACTTTGTAGATGCAATCACATCAAAAACATGGCCAGCCAGGATTAAAGGTTTTCTAAATCCTCACCACGGAGCATTTTCTGGATACAAAGGCACTAGCCCATTTGAAGATTAATGCTCCGTGCCTCTGGGCCAAGAGGTCAGCAGCTATATGCTAGGGAGAAAAACATTAACTGTTGTTTGTGACAGCGGAAAATTCAGGGCTGCCTTACTTTGTCTTGGTTTCTAGAAGGGAGATATTATTTCCTGAGTATTTACTGAGGTGTCGAGTGTTGTGCTAAAAGCTGGTAGCTTCTGAACTTGATTGAAATGGAGAGCAAGGGTGGCTCATTGCCACGAGAGGTAAACGCAGCCAGAGGCACGGTATAGTTTGTGGAGTCCTTTCTGAGGACACAGACTGTGGCTCCCTGGGCAGAAACAGCTCTACCCACTGCCGTGGCTCCATGGCTCCGCTGTGCCTTGCTCAGTTCTTTGCCTGTCTCTGAAATGCGGCCTGCAGGTCTGGCTTCTACCCTTCTCATCCTTTCTTTAGAGAGCAGGCTTTGCATCTGCATGAAGGGAATCCAAGGATTCAGGCTCCATTTTTCTGCTTCTGTCTTTTGCTCAACAGCAAGGTGGTAACAGGCCCCGTGTGTACTCATGGCCTGCACAACTTAGTCTCTGGAAAACGCCAGCCCTCAGACACCCTGGGGGTGACCTTCCCTCCCTACACAGTGGAGAGCAGAGCCCAGATGGCGTCGCCAGTCAGTTTTCCTTGCCTAGACTGGCAACCGGCTTCTGCTCTCTTTTGAAATACTTAGATCAGCATGTTTTAAACCCAAGTACATTACAAGTCTGTCACCTGACCTGTTGCACTTCTTACCCTTCATCATAGCTAATGAAATACCAAAAAAATAAAATAAAGCTTTGTAGTATACTTGCACTTAGTTTGAAAAAAAATGAAATTGTAATGCATTTGTATTTCCATTTCTTGCAAATAAATATTTTTCTTAGTCAAATGTTTCCCAGTGTTTAAATCCTGGTAATCTGGTTTCAAAGGCATTTGCCGCCCCCCTGCCCCCCATCTGTGTGTGTGTGTGTGTGTGTGTAAACTGCCCCCCCCCCCG